AAGCATCTCCAGAGTCTAATATAGTTTAAACATTTATTGCCCCTACAGCCGGCAAAGCTTCATTAAGTCAAATCATCATAGTTAGCTGCCTCAATTGCAGCCTGAACCTAGCTGCACATATGCCAGCTGAAAAGCCCTGCTCATCAGCTGGCCCCAACCTTCTTCCTACAACCCACCTGAAAGGATACCACGCTTCAATCATCCATCACGCTTCCGCAGTAAGTCATCCGACCCGACCCGACTTTCCCTCTTCTGGCCGCAACCGCTAACAGCATCACAGCTGCCCCGTCACGATGCCTGCTATCCGAAGAAGCCTGCAGGCACCCAGGCCTGATGAGCCTTATCTGACTGAAGGCCATGATGTGATCCCTAAGATCGAAGAAGCTCTTGGGCGAAATAAGGGCAAGGGCGATATGCTGTATATAATGGCTATAGATATCGGAGAGGCCTGGTTTAATAAGGATAATACCAGCCGCATTAGGATAGCGATCTTTAGTTATGAGATCCTCCTGCTTATATGGTCTATCTATGAGAACCCTCTGATTAATAAAGACTTCCTTAAACGCGAGAAGCAGAAGCTCAAGATCTAGAAAGGAAGCTATGCAGAGGGGTGCAGCCAAGCAGGAGGGAGAGGGGGTTCCTTAGGGCCCTTAACGGCGGCTTGCATAACGAGTGGCTCAAGGATATCCGGTGGCAGGCCAAGGAGGTACTGGAGAAGACCGAGAACCTGTGATGCGATGTCTGGGATGGAAGCGGGGTAATCGCGGGTTTAGAGGAAAAATATATTGAGTTTTGTGTGAGTTTAGTTACCTGAAGTTAAAGACCTGAAGTTATGAATTTGGCATCGGCGGCGAAAAGAGGATCAAATGAGTCACGAGACAGATCACGTGACCAAATGAGCAAATCAGCTATAACATCAGTGCACCATTAATATAAACAGGGGAAATAATAACTATATTATATAAAATTCTTATATAAATTTGATTTTATAATTATTTACTATAAAGGATTTAAAAATAGAAAAGCAGATATAATTAGTTAATAACTAGACTATAATACTAGCACTATTAAGGCAAAAGAATAAGTATTAGAAAAGAATAATAAAGGAGAATATTAATTTACTTAAAAAATAGTAATATTAAGATAGATATAAGCAGAAGTAACTAAAGAGATCCTAGGAGAACTATAAGAATTTATCTAAGAATTCTATATATACCTATTATATAGATATTAAAGAGTTATTAAAACCTTAAAATAATTATTATAATAAGGTTATAAGATAATATAAAAAGTAATAAAAAGGTTATTAAGTAATATAATATTTATATTAAAATAAAAGTATAATAATATAAACCTTATAAAACACTATAACTAATAGAAGTTACAGAATGACTATAGAGCTTAATTATAATAGACTTTATAACTAAGTTATTATTATCTAAAAACCCTTTAACTAGAATCTTCTATAATAGTATTATAGTTATTATAGATAGACTTATAAAGTTCTTTATTTACTTACCTTATAAAGAGGCAATAGATATAGGAGTTATGGCCTATATCTTTTATAATAGGGTAGTAAGGAAATAAGGATTACTAAAAGAAATCCTATTAGATAGAGGACTAATATTTACCTCTAAATTCTAGCAATTGCTTATAGTACTTATAGGAGTTAATTACTAACTTATAATAGCCTTTAGATTGCAGGTAAATAGCTAGATAGAATAAATAAATTAAGTACTAGAATAGTACCTTTAGTATTATATTAACTATAAATAAGATAACTAGGTTAAGAAGCTACTAAGCGCTTAACTAGCTTATAATACTGCCTATAATAAAAGTATAAAACTTATACTATTTAATATAAATATTAGATTTATACCTAATATGTATTATAATGCTTAGGAACTTAAGAATATAAACCTAGTAGTAATTATTATAAGTAATAAATTAAAGAAATATATAATAAACTTAAGACTAAATTAGAATTTATTAGGAAAAGGATATAAAGATATTATAACCCTAAAAGGTTAAAGGACTAACCTTTATAAAGGGGATATAGTTTACTTATTTACTAAAAATATTAAAATAAATTAACTAAGTTATAAACTAAACTATAAGTACTTAAGACTAGTTAAGATTAAATAAAAATAAGAAAAGATTAATATAAACTAAATCTACCCTTAAATATTAGATATTACCTAATTTATTATATCTTAATACTTAAATTAGCTGCAGATATAATATATATAAAAACCGGCAATAAACCATAACAAATCATAGGACTAGAGGTATATAAAGCAGAGGAAATCAGAAATATATAAAGAATTAACAGATAAAAGATATATCTAATTAAATAAAAGAACTATTTAAAAAGCGAAAATATATAAGAATTAATAAAATACCTCGCTAATGCCTAGCAACTCCTAAAGAACTTTTACTAATAACCTTAGAAAGTAAAGGATTAAAAATCAGGTTCTAGTTAATAATATTAGCACTGCTAAAAGACTAAATATCTAGAACTGCTATATCCTCTTCTTAAGTAATAATATTACTTATAGAAGAATTTATATTATTAATAATAGATTAGATATCCTGCTTATATAATAAACGCTTCTAATAATAAATATAAGATAATCTTATAATGGCCTTATTAACCTCTTATTAGGCTTTAAGAAGCTTTTCCTTAGCTTTCTCTTTTGCCTATTTTAGATAATTAGACTTATAATTTAAATAAGGAATTAAAGAAAAAACGGTTAGCAGAAGGCAATAATAATAAGGGAAATAACATATAATAGGCAATCGCAATGCTAGAAGTATTATAAAATTAACCTTATTAAGTATATTTAAAGTAATAAGAAAAATACTTAATTATTTTATAATAAAGGCCTTTAGCCTTATAGAAGGAATAAGGCATAATATTAAAACTAAATTTTATAATTAAATCTACTAAATAAATATACTTTAGAGTTTATAAGATTTTAACTAAAGATTCTGTAATATAACGATTAGTAAGGCATATTAGGAAAAGAATAAAGAAAGAGAGTTAGCGCTTACTAAAGCCTGATATAAGAATAGGGAGATATATAGGTCTTAAGGGCAAGACCTAATAGAGGGGAGAGATCGTATTATAACCTATATAGCTATATTATATAGCCCTTATAATTTCTACCTATTACAGAAGGATTACTTTTCCTAGTAATAATCCTCTTTTATTAAATTACTTAGATTATAATACTTTAAGGCTAGATTACTATAGATTACTAATAATCCCTAAGGATCTAACTTTTAGATTACTATTATTCCTTACTAAGCTATTAGGCTACCTTTAGTATATAAAACATATTTATTTAGCACTTTTATAGAACTTAGCTTACTAGCTATTAATTAAAGCATCTTTATATTAATAAGCCTAATATATATTACTTAATTATTAAGAGATATAATACTTTGTAATGCTTAGTATTACGCCTTATGCAATCTGCAAACATAAACCTAGTACGGACTAGTTTACCTGTTTGGAAAACCTAACTGTTATAAATAAGGTAATAACTTTAATTTATATTACCTTAATTAATAATATAATAATAATAACTAAGGTAACTCTTAAAACTAAGGCTAATAATAAGGTAATTACTAAAATAATACTTTATATAAAACCTAAATAAGACCTATAATACTTAGAGCTATATAGTAAGGTAATAAGGGAAAATAAGATATATCTTAATATAAATACTATAACTATAACTAATTTAGATATATAGTATAATAGTGCCTTAAACTGCAGAAACCTTAATAATAAAACTAAGGTAAGTAATCTCTTAAATTAACTTAAGTATTAGGAATAACTTAAAGCAGATATAATATAATTCTATATTATAAATTAACTTTTATAAAACTACTTATAAAGACCTATAAGAGATAAAAGAAAAAGAAGCTTATAAAAGAAAAGAAAAAATAATAAAGTCTTTAAAAAAACAAAATTAATAACTAGTATTACTATTAAAAGATAGAAAACCTAAAATAAAAGGAATATTTTTAATAAAAATAAAGAGAGAAAGAATAGTAAAAGAAGGATAATAGAAAAGGCAATAAGGAATAATAACTAAAAGTCTTAAGAATAATATAATAAGAAATAGCAACTATCCCTAATATAAATAAGAAAACCAAGTTAACTAGTAAAATAAATAATATCTCTATTAAAACTATAATAGTAAATAAGCTTTAGAAAAAGGAAATAGCCTTTAATAAGGAATAAGAGGCAGGAGCTAGAATCTACGCCTATTACTATTAATACTCCTAAAGTATAAGATATAAAGGAGAAGTAATATAAGTAATTATATAATACCTCTATAAGAAAGATAAATACCTTAAGTAAAAATAAAAGTAACCCTATAAGCTATTATTTAATAAAATAAGAAATAAAATATAAATATTACTAAAAGAAAGGTATATATAAGGAGCTAAAGAATATAGAAATACTAATATAATTAAACTTTTAAATATTAAAATATATTATATTAATAATATTATAAACCTATTATATAAGGAGGAATAACTTTATAAATAAGATAATATTTAAATACTCTTAATAAATAAATAATATAAAGAGATCTTATAGCTATTTTTTAAATATTATTAATATAAAATATATAAATAAAAAAAGCATAATAATAATTATTTCCTAGTAATTATTCCTAGTATATCTAATAGTAAACTCTATTTAAGGAAGGAAATAAAAAAGTACCTAATATATATATAATATAAAAACCTAGGAGTAGCGGAATTATAATTTAATATAGCCTATTATTAATAAACCTATAAAGTAAACTAACTTTATAAGGGAATTTAATAATTATAAAAGCTTATAGAAGATGCTAAAAAGGAATTCTAGGTAATTACTAAAGGAAAGTTTAATTATCTAAGGAAACTAATAAAAGAAACTAAGCTAGATAATAATAATATAACTTAGGAAAGAATCTTTACCCTAATTAACCTTAAGGAAGTATTTAACTAAGTAGAAATTAATAAAATAATAAAAAAATATTAAAAATAGGAAAAAAAATATTAAGAATAAATTAATAATAAATAATATAACTACTTAATAAAAGAACTATTAATTAATAATATTAATTTAGAAACTATTAAGGAGCTAAAATACTAATAAGAAGTTAATAGACTTTACTTATATAATAACCTTATAAATCTCTAATAACTTAATAAGATTATAATTATAGAAAATACAGCTAATAATAAATAATTTAAATAAGGAATTATATTAAATAAGTAAGATATAAAACTAGAAAAATATCTCTAATAGTTATTATATAATAAAGAATTTAAAAATAATTATATTAATAAAGAAGAATACTATAATAGCAATTATAAATAAATTTACTAAGATATATTAGGAAATAAGAAATACTATTTATAATAAAGCTATAAATATATAAAGTATAAGGATAAAAATAACTTAAATTAATAAGTGCTTTAGGAGTTATATAAAATAGTAAGCCTAATAGCTTAGTATTAAAAGTTCAGATTAAGAGGAGATAGCTAAATACTTAAATTAATTATAAAGTTAAATATAACTTTATTAACTTAAATCTAGTTATAGAGCTTAGATTATTATAAAGGAAAAAGTAAGTCTTATACCTAGTTATTAATATAAAGGGATAACCTTTTAACTATAATAATAGAATAATAAATTAAGAGGTTAATTACCTTAAGGTCCTTATCTAGGGGAAAAATCAAGGAATAGACCTAGATGTTATTCCCCTACTACTAGATATAATATTATCTTTAATATATTATAGCTTAAATA